CACACACACACACACAGACAGAATGAATAATTACTAACCCATCCTAAGGAAGCCAGCAGATTGTGTTGAATCACTTCATCACAGTCTCCCATCTTGAGCAGCCCACCGGCAGCAGTAGAAAGGAAAAACTTCCTTCTAACCTCCAGCAYAATCAGGCTCAGGTCAGTCGGCCATCTGCCTCGACCGGCTGATTGATTTTTTTTTCTTCATTTTTGTATAAAACTGGTTATGATGCAAACAATAAGACTGCATGTGTTTGAGGCAGAACTGGAAACCCAACATAGAGGTCTGTGTGTTTATTCAGCAGAATCCTTCTAAAGATGTTAATGAACAATYCTTCAAATGCAATGTGTTTCCTCCCTGAAGACTTGCTGATGGACAAGAGTTTCTATTAACGGTCTCCATGAGGCAAATGTGTCCTTACATGTATGATTAATAGTCCCAAATAAACAGGTTCAACTAAAGACAACTGTGAGAAACATTTTATTTACGCTCTGCTTTTTTTTCTGAAGCTCTGTTAGTCGCCATGTGGAGCAGAAACACGCAGCGCTGAGTGAAAGTGACTGAGCAGGCCACCATGTCAACGCTCTATGCTCTGCTGTGACCTCGGTTATTGTCTAAGTGGCAGACTCTGTGACAGAGTCAAGTAGTGGATATTTATCATGGGAGGACCCCCCACCCCCCTCGCAGGTTGGCGGCAGACAGACCTCAGACAAACACRTCTTTGTCCTTGGGCATGTTCTGCCCTCCTCTTCTCAGCCCTCAGGGTTCCCTCCTGCTGCCGGGCAGCTCTGGGAGCAGCTGACGGTCCCTCTGCTCCCTCACACTGCTGTTTTAACTCAGATGATTGGTTGTCAGGGCTGAGTTACTTTGATCAATAMGTCTTTTAACCAAGTTCCATTAGYCTTTCGACTTGAACGACTTCACCACCATTCATCCATATCTGAGAAGCAGAAAATTCATCATCGTCTCATTTGGAATGCAGCCTCGGGTCTTCCAAACATTTAAGCACGATCCGATCTAATCATTATATCTTCACTGGTCTTTTTTCTCCCACTTCGCAGCTCTCGCTCAGACAGGTGTGGGATTTCAGTCATTGCTGCTTTGRCCGCTCTCATGTGGCCACCTGCGGTCTTGGATACCTGCTTTTAACCACACCTCACAGAAGGCTTCTCTTTGAAGGAGCCTTTCCACATTCTTGGCCGGGTGGAAGGGGGCTTATGAGCGGCTGGCTGCAGGAGATTCCTGGACCGTGGCCAGTGCTTACAGCATGGTGCACATATAGCCARGGACGAAAGAAAACTTTAATGTTCTGTTAGCAGATCGCACAAATGCTCAGGGTGCACATCTGGACAGGAAGAGAGCTTTCTCCACTCGAAACYTATACGTTTTAGAAATGTTGAACAAAGTAGTGTTTAATATGCTTTCCAGCACTGCCTGATGCATTCTCTATGAGCAGATAAAGAGAAAGTCTCAACAACTCTGAGGATCTTGAGTCTGCGTGTCTTTGTGGCTGCATYTTTATGCAGAAACCTCTTGCCTTTAGAGTCACTGATTTTCATTTGATGTTTAAAACTCATGGTCCTCAAGTCCAATAAATCACAAATCCTGAAGCATATTGAGTGTGGCCAGCATTCAGAGTGTGTTTGTTTTGTACACAGGGACCCCTGGTGGTGGGATAAAATAAAAAAGGACTATGAGAAATGAGTGGAAATCAGAAAGAAAATACAACAAAAAGTTATTGAGCAATGAAAAAGTGTCTTCTTCATATTTTAGAGTCTGMTTGTCAGACAGGCAAAGGCATCATTTTCTTCGTTTTATTACCTCTGCTCCATGTTTAACACACACACAGACGGCATGCACCCTCCTCTTCCTCCACCCGTCTCTTACCCAGGCTCCAATATCCTCTGTCCTGCTTTGAAGATGTCAAGGAATAATATTGATGGAGTCTCTGGTGAAATGTTATTGTGGTTTCTCTTTCCGGCTGTCATGGGAAAAGAGTGGGGTAATGAGCAAAAGAAATGCAAAGAAGGGTGGATAAGAAGATGGACACTTGTGTTTGGTGTCATAAATTAAAGACAAGACAGATAAAGGAAGTGAAAACAAGTCTGCTGTTGCTCGTCGTCACATGCTGTCTATCTTCATCCTACAGAACGAGTAAAGCAGGAGGACAAAGATGAGAGGAGATGAACGGGCATGGGGTCATTGACAGSGTTGTTTGTTTAAAAGTCTTGAATCCAATTTTTACTTAAATATCTTCACGTGTTTCTAGTAAAGACAAAAATAAACCTAGAGGTGGGCATATRAATCTATCAATGCTATTGACACCAAGATCAGGATCAGATCYGATTTATATCAGCTTGATCACACTTTATTTTCACTACTGACTTTATTTTTACTAATAAAAAGAAATAAAGTCTGTAGTGCAGAGTCTTCAAATTGTTTGGAGTTAGTCATGGAGGACCAAAACTGACATAGTTAGAAATAAACATAGAAATGTATAAATAAATAAAAAATACACTTAAAATGCACCAATTAAATTAAAAAAGGAAAACTTTCTCATTTTTTATAATTTAATTAAACTTCATATTCATTTTTTATCTTAGTTTCAATAAATTATATATTTTAGAAAAGAAAACAAAAATAATTTTTCTGTTTTTAAATATATATTTTTTCTTTTACTTGTACGTGCATTTGTGTTTCTTAAATGTTTATATTTAATTTTTTCAATAATTGTTCCCACAAGTTTTTTTACTTGTTACTTTTACATCTCTGTCTCCTGTATTTACATTACCTTATGCATTTCTGCGTCAATATGCGAATAAAGGTGGGCGGCCCTTCTTGGGTCAGCTCCTCTCCTATTGGGTAATAAACAGGAAAGAGCAGAATCCATGTGCAGATCAACTGTGCATGCTGTGCTGCTTCAGTTTAGCTTAAAGTTTAGTTTAAAACAAAGATACAGGTAAGTGTTTTCCTCCTTGCCTTTGTATTTTTGTTGGTTTTTATTGTAGTTATTTAGTACAAAAAATTACTTGCCTAAAATCTTTGTCATGTGTTTTATCATCAACTAACTAAAGGCAATATCACATAATTATTCAATGAACATGACAACATAACAAGTATCAGTTCCAGGATCAGTATTAGCAATACTCGGTCTGTTTACTTGGTATCACATCAGCATCAAAATTCCTAGTATTGCCCAGCCCTAGTAATTACTAAAATTACTCTTTTTTAATGTGTCAGTTTACTAAAAGATGATGGTCTGTATTTAGGGAGACATTCTGTTTCATTTCATCAAATTTCAAAAATTTTCACTTGTTTAGCTTTTTGTTCAAGACTGCAAAGAATAATAGTACACAGAGAAGTATCGGGCTATTATAAAGCACACTGCATATTTTTCGACACATTTTGTGTTAGGCATTAGGTACTTGTCGGAGCTCTGGGTTGGGGGATAGGAAAAGGTTCAAGTTCTCATAAATAATTTCCCTTCTCAGCCAAAGTCAACAAAATTAGCTTTGTCGTCATTTTATGTTTCAAGGAGACAGTCAGGAATGGCAGAGGTAAAGTTACTAAAACAGTCTTGTTAGCGACTGGATTGACTGCCAAAAGGGCAATCCAAGTCCCAGCTTGATAATAAAACACCCTCAGAAAAAAAATTACCAGAATCTGAAGCGGTGGTCTTAGCTGCACCTGCACAAATATGACCTTCACTGAGAAGTCAGGAGAAAAGCTTCCCTGAATTATCATCAAAAACGTAGAAAACAAACATTTGAACAAGTCTGATGTGAGCTGGAACAAGTTCTGTAGACTGGAGTCTAAAAAGAATAGCMTTGCATGGAGTCCAATTATCAATCTTTTGGGTTTCATTTGTAGGCATTGTTTTTGCAATTTTTTTTAAAAGAGGGATGGTCTGAATTAGACAGGAGGCAAACACTTGCGAAAACAAGAAGAGGGTGGTGTCTACAGAGATTTATAAAGACATCACAGAAGTAATAAATATGTTCAAGTCTTTGGCCTCATAAATATAAATGAAGATATATAAAAAATAAAACTTCTGGAGATAATTATAAAACTACATAAATCAACAAATATAAAAGCTTTTTTTGATTTGCAAAAACTCTTAAAAAGAAAAACACTTCTTTGTGCTTTTTGACTGGGACGCCCAAACTGTTGCATGTTTCTGTGTTTTCCCATTAAGAGATTTTATAGGAGGAAAACTTGCTCAAGCCTGTTACTAATAGACTTCCTGTAAGGGTTTTCTCTTTGAGCACAAGTTGATGACTCTAAATTTAMAAATAATGGCTGCTAGCGTTGTTTGAACCAGTGCTGAAGAGTCATTGTGMAAATGGCTTCTGTCTTCAGATTTTGGTAAAACAACATTTCACGTCATAACATTTATTATTTTACTCTTTTCATATTTACGACTCCTTTCAGAGAAAGACATGCCCCATGTTTGTTTTGTAGAGCCTATGATGCTCTTACATCAAAGGCCGAGCTGGCAAAGTCACCCTGTGATGCATTAAGCTCTCTCCCACTGATCATCGCATTGTGAGTAATTGCATTATCCATATCTGCAGGCCTCCTGCTATCTTCTTTCTTTTTCTGGCCCATTTACCCCATGAAAGCCAAAGCAAAAGAGGTGGTGGAGAGAAAAGGCTCCTCCTGCTGTTAAGCAGATCTACCTTTTAGCTATTTGAATGGTAAAAGAATAAGATGTGGAGGAATAATAATGTTTTTCCTCGTGTCATTTCAGGAACCATAGTGGTGCTCCTACAAATCTCAGCTCTGGACAATAGTGTCCTCTGATACCATAATATTATGGAAATGCATTATTGCTCCGTGGTGCTTTTGTGAGTCAGCGTCTACATCCTGTTTGTAGTTTGGTTTCATTCGGGTTCAGCAGAGGCTGTCACAGACATATAAGGTGTTTTGCAGAGAGCACGGTACAAAAGCATGCGTTGCAATATCATGAAATCAAAGCATCAGGGCTTTAGAGGTGCAGGAACCAGACATGAAATCTAGCTCCAAGGATCAGATGAGCTTGTAATYAAGAGGAGAAAAAAGTCCAAATTTGGACTCAGATATCTTTTATGGATGGTTGTTTGCTCTAATCGGGTCTTTTGAAGATTAGCTTATTATCCAAGGTGCTTTAAGACCACATGTTTGGTACATTTATGGCTTTAAAGTTTGCTTTGCATAAAAGATCCCAAGCTGAACGAGTGGTTGAGAATGAGAAGAGGCACTGTTTGTGTGTGGCCACACTTCCAAGCTTCTGTGAGTTTACATTGACCAGAGAAAGCTAAGCTCAGCCTCAGTCGGTGATGGCGGTGTTGCAGTTTCATCTGTATTGTTAACCCAGAGTTTATTTTGTCAATTGCACTATTCTTTGTGAATTCATTCCAGCTGTCTGGTCTTTGTTGCACATAAAAGTTTCAAAGGGAAATCTTAGTCATAGTCTGTCCTGAGCCAYGTGTCCGTAATACCACAGTGTTTATTATTTTGTGTGTTTGAACAGACACATGGCTCAAACACATGTATTAAAATAAAATAAAATTTAAAAATGTAATGGACAGATTTGTGCAGTGGTTTCTTTTAGACTCCAGCACAACCTAAAAAAAATGCCCCGGAGGAGAAAAGAAACTTGACCCAGCTACCCCAAGAATGAAAGCTTTGAATTGAATTTGATTGATAAAATCTACATTCAGCACTGAGGTCAGGACGGGGGGCTGAAGAATGTGACGTTGTTTTGGTAAAGTAATCTGACATTTCAAGCCTCTTGTCTATCATTTATTCTTCTCGCAAATCTTTGTTTCTTTGCCCCCACGTTTCTACTCTTCGCCTTTGTTTATTTTCAAGATCAATGTGCGGGTTCTGTGACACTTGGCTGGTCCGCTCCCTCCAACCTCAAGCGCTGAGTTCATGTGTCAGGGTGGATGTGCGCTCGGCTGAATTCGAGAAGTGAAGGGAGGAGGGCGAGCCCGTGAACGTGAAAGAAGAGAGAAGAAATGCAAGCCGAAAAGGCGCTAATGAAAAGGAATAAATGTGAAGAGACAGGAATGCCACAGAGRGAGATGATTAGGTGAGATTGATGACTTTGTATTGATACAAATCAGAGGTAAGTTATTGCTTTTAACGACATATTTCAAGCGTCGGCAATTAGTGGTTTGTAGAAAAAAAAGGCGAAGGAGGAGGAAGGCTTTTTAAAACCCTGTCTGCATGATGATAACCTGGCTGACAAGTCACATAAACACCGATACACACAGACAGACACACACACACATGCGAGCAGCAGACTTCTTTCTGCGCTTTGGGCATTGTTCMATTAGCTACTTTTCACTCACACATAGAGCTATTCTCACGGCTGACAGGGAGCAGTTGAGCTGTCGACAGGGTCTGCAGCAGGCTACACTACCACACACACATACACACACGCACACACAAGATATAAACAGAGATCCATACAGGCACACACAGCTGGAACATGTCAAGCAGCATGACTTTTTTTTAGACAAAATACACACAAACACGCAGAGCAGGTCAAAAAGAGCACATTTAACAGCACTGCTTGTATGATTGAAATGTAAAGCACACAAACACATACACAAAGAACAGAAACCCATTAAACAACATGATCCTTTTGACAGAGTACAGACACACACACACACACACACACACATATACACACACTTACATAGATACATAAACAGTCCACAAAGGAAAGGCTGGCAAAAGCAATTTTATGCTTCTTCAGCTGATTCTGAACGTGTCACAATTAACACTGTAATCTACTGTAAGAAACGGAACAAAGAAAATATACCAACTTCATCTGTTCTTTCATTTCAAGCTTTCAATCAAATGTATGTGCTGTTGTGTGTCACTAAACACTTAACTTTGTGGAGACCCTTTCACTGAGAGACAGATAATATTGTTTTAGATTAGGTCAGAATAAAAAATAAAGTTTTAACATTGTTACTGTGTGAAGTAATGATTAGTGTGGCTCTGGGTGTATAGCTCGAGTGCTTCCCATCAATAACGCTGTGATGACAGGCCCCAGTCTCCACCTGGCCTCATAGAAGATGAAGTACAGCTCTAATCTGACTGAGCTCCGACACTCAAAACCCAACAGCAAAGTCAATAACACGCAGTGAGCATTACAAGCTGATTCTGTAGACATGCAGATACATGGTTACGTTCAACTATTTGGGATGTATGTATAATTTGTGCAGTGAGATTTGATTTTGTGAATCTGTGTTGCTGCTACAGAGTACATTTAGAAGCGATTTGAAACTTCTTTTCAAAGAGTTGAACCGTTCAAACAAGGCATTCTCTACAGCAGCAAGAACTTTCAGCCTTACACAAATTCAGGTTACAGTTCTGACATTGACCACGAGTTCAGTTATTTACGTGGTCCCACAATGGTTTATGAAATAACCACATATTTAATTTTATGAATTCATTGAGGACAATTTATTCATAACTTTGAAAATACTGAATACTTTAATTTCACTTAAACATTGTTTGCCTTGTGCAAGGAGGTGCAAGCAGGATGTTTTTTGTTGATCTCAATCTTCTACCGCTTACCCATCGTTGGGTCATGGAGGCAACAGGTCCAGGAGAGAAACCCAAACATCCTCCTCCCAAATGACACTTTCCACTAATCCTGGGAACCACGAGGTGTTCACAGGCTAATATGGATACATATCCAGTGAGTCCTGGGTCTTCCCCAGGGCCTCCTACCAGTGAYATGTGCCTGGAACACRTCTAGAGGGAACCATCCATGCAGGGCCACCTGCAGGATTTTATTGGAGGGTACACACAACCCATCTACCAGACCCACACAAATACAGGTCATATAGGCACGATGCGCATGGCACACAAAAACATCACCTTGTCCTGACCAACAGCCACACCAGCGCGATGCGCATCTTTTCAACAGGCCCAAAGCATGCGCACACATTTGTC